TCCCAGTGCGGATGTCAAACAGGGACAAGCCAGACAGGCAGAGAGGGGTTGTGGTTGTATCACAGTGGGTGGCAGAGAACAAAAGGGCAGTGTTTTAGCCTTACCAGAAAGAGCAAGCGCATAATTTCTGCAACTGTGAGTCATTTGATTCAACAATTTCCTGACCGCAGTATTTATCATAATCACACACGTTCATTCCTGTAATCAGGGTGCAGCAGTGACCAGCTACTTGCCACCCTCCGGTGCCAATTCACCTTGACTTGTGTTGCTCTAAATAATAACAATCTAATAATAATTTCCACCTGTAGCGCTCACGGTATTGGCTTACTCTCGTAGAGAGACCACGAGGATCCACAGACGAGCGGCAAGGCATCCACGCGCTGCGCCAGTGCCAACAATTGTTCAAGCCCTACGGTCCTTTATATATCGGCTAATTATTAAGGGTTTACGTGTGGTAGGAAACCGGAGCACCTAGAGAAAAGCCACGCACGCGAGGGGGGACACTCTATCCCATACATACGGAACAAGTGAAGTGCAACTTTCTTTACCGCCTTTCCTGGAAAGCCAGGATATGGCTCCTCGACGCCCACAAGAAGGGATTTTCTCAACATTTGTCCGATCCAACAACCCTCGCTGCCTCCGCAGTGCTGGATCACAGGCCACGTGCATAGCCACGACCGCCCCACAGGCCACTTGCATAGCCACCACCGCTCAACTAAATGACACTGCCTTTGGGTGCCTTCTTAAAACTGTATTTGTCATTCATTGAGAGCAATAGACACGTACTACACACATCAATATATTTAAATATAAAGACGGCCATTTCCCTTTCAAAAAGAATAACAGTTCGGGGGATGTGGGGCGTGGGGGAGGTGAGAATGTAATTTGTGGGGGTGGAGAGGAGAGAGATGGCACGGCACGTTCAGTCCGTGCTCTGTGGGCTTGCTTGGTAGTTTCCAGAACGGAGCAAAATCATGACGTCATTAGGGAGAATGCGAGAAACAATACACAAGCAGACCAAAACATCTCATCCCCATATCTGTCCCTCCACAATTACACATCCTATCGGCCACACGGCATTCTGGGAGTGAGTTTTTTTTCATCCGCATTGGTTTGATAAAAAAAAACTGGACCGATTTTGACATTCAGTGTATCATCAGCAGATACAGACTTGCTTAAACCGATGCTGGTGGACTGCCTGATGTCCATAGGAAAGAAGAACAGCTTTTATTAGAAATGTCTTCTATTCTCTTCTTTGGTTCTTTCGGTAAAGTCACGTAGAATGAGAATAAAATAATAAAATAACACAATAAAATTCTCACGTATTTTATACAGTTTTGTGTAGACAGTCATTGTCTCATCATAACTTGTATATGATTATATATGTGTCCGAATTCGACACGAAACTATATAATACTTAACAATTTGGAGGGATTTATAATCCTCCGCAAGTTATAATGGGACGATGAATGTCTAGACCGGCCCGGCGTTTGCTTGTATTTAACCAAGGCTGATGAACAAAACTCACTCCTAGAAGGCAGTTTGCCGATCAGACTTATTCGGGCATATTACTATCGATAAGAACCAAGGCCGTAATTATAATATATATTGGGGGGGGGGACACATCCCAAAATTTATAAAAAGTCCATCCCATGTGTTAGTGAATTTTTAAATATTTTAGGCAGGAAATTCGTTTTAAAATGTAGATATTTTTTTCTGGGTTGGGACCCCCAGACACCCTGGAAGATTTAGTCCCCCCCAATGTTGACTCCATGGCTACGGCCTTCATAAGAACACAGGGAGCGGTGGCATAGGGGTTAGTGCATTCAATTGCGATGCTGGCAACCTGAGTTCAATTCGCACCAATGGCTAACCAAACCGCACTGACCATTGTGAAGTGGTGAAGTATATCTTAACAACCTGCATAACCAATACAGCATTGGGAGCCCTTCATCCAGCATTGGATAAACAAAGAGCTGGTCATTGTTATTCGTATTAGTTATTGCAATCATAAAAAATATATACAATTGAACCAAATTTGTATTATGGGACATTATTGATTTTTTGGCTTCACGTGGGTAAGCTGCCGTGGCTTTTGTGAGATTTGTGGCATGGTAAAAAAACTGGGGATAATCGATATCTCACACCGAGAGTAGTCGGAGTGATGTTGGAGACACCGCGAATGAAGGCCGTGTGATGCCACAAGTTGACTGCTGCTGTCATGCCACTGTGGGAGTCGATACGCAGGTAAAGAAAAGAGACAGTGGACCGGAAATAATTATAATTGTGAAACCGAGTTGCGCTGTTGTAAGCGTATTTACACCGCGCCCACATCCTGTCGCTCGAATACCTTTCGGATGACACGTCCAAATCGCATTGCGAGACCGCTGCAGGTGGGTGGAGTCCCTGGGGGGCGTGTGAGTGCTTGCATGACGCGACTCGGAAATGACTTCCAGCCGAGGATCAGGTTGTGTGCAGTACAGCAAAGTACCAGGCTAAAACTTTACACCCGGGGACAGCCGCGTGGTGTTGAAATAGCTGTGACCGATCTTGTATCTCATTGACTATTTGGGGCAACGGCCTTTTATTACGTCACATCGGGAGGCCAGAGAGATAAGAGTGGATACGGTTTTGGAGGCTGCACTATTCTGCACTTGTGTCCATCAATTCGCCTGGGCAGCTGACGGGATTCATTGCGTTGCACCTATATGACCTTCTGCGAATGGTCCCATCGCATGTCTCAGTGACATTACCTTCTGACACTCTTTTGTACGCTCCCTTCTTTACCAGACCCAATGCAAACAAACGGTTACGGTTGTCCAGTCCAGCCAGAGTTGTCCAGTCCAAATGGAGTGTCTCCCTCTTCTGATAAATTCAGGGTCCAAATTTGCCAGATACGAAATTACCTGCCAATTACTTAATTGGATTATGCTGTACAGTACATAAAACTAATCGCCCCCTACCGGCATTTTAGGACCCCTGGTCACTCTTGCGAATGGGCCACATCCTGGTCTCTTGAGTTCTCACCCAGTTAAATAAAATCAACTCTATTTTGTTTCAAACCAGAACAGTCCATACACCAGCTGTGTTGTTTTAGTTTTCAGGAACAAAGCAACGAGGATAATTGTGTCTGGTTTGGGAATCGTGGATTCTCACCCAAATTCCTGGCCCCAAACTTGCTTAGCGCTCCAGTGATTGGCATGGGCCCTGTTGTTGCGAATTAAACGAGGCACCGTGTCCCATTCCGCCCTCTTCAGAGACAAGCACTGCCCCCCCCCCCTCAGCCTGTGCAGTTGCACCACCAGCACACTCAAGAGCTACGCCAACTGAGCGCTCTCACGACACACCTACACACTTCGCCTTTTTCTATCTCCTACTTTTAGATTGCCAGGTCTGGCAAAACCAAAATATTGCAACCATAATTCCAACCCTGGCCTTTATTGCGATTGTGGGATTGTTTTTTTCCCATCGATCCGAGCTACCAGGTGGTGCAGGAGCTAACACACTGCGCTATGAATCTAGTGAGTTCAGATCCCAGGGACGGACAAAACGAGATCAGGTGCGAGCGATATCTAAAGCAGCCGTGGACTACCACCTTCACAAACCACACAATACCTTGCTGATCAAAAGCCGCAGCTCTTTGCTAACCATCGAACAAAGACGGTCACTGCATGGCGTGCTTTCAGATGCTCTTCTGCGGCCGTCTGGAATGCTCTTCCGATGTTAGGAATCTAGATTTAAAGCTAATTTCTCTATAACTGCTATTGGTATTTATTTTATTGTCCTTCACCCGCACATCCGATTAGCACGGTTGACTACGTACGGTGCAAAATAAGTTCAGCATACTGTGCATACATACACTAACCATCACGGTAATGTATGGCCAAAGAACCACCATGACCAACACGGTGTAGGGCATTGACAAATGGATGATTTTTTATGTTTAAGCTACCAGCTAAGGTCCCATGCACCTGACTAATAATATGGTTATGAAACCTTAGTCAGCCACTTTTATACTTGCCCAAGCATCAAAGTGACTGCCTCGAGAAAGTAGAAGAGGTTATATATATCTAGGTTTCATAATTAATCGATTACCCCAGTTCTGTTTGGACTGGTTGAGGAATTGCTCTACTGGAAATATGTCCATACCATTTTTTAAAGAAAAATCGATTATGACAAAAGCATCATGGATCTTCCAGTAGGAATCAGCCTACTGGAAACATGTCCAAACCAGATAAAAACAATCTATATACGGAACGAAACACTTCTCCACAAATCTGGCTGTCGCCTGATGAAGCTAGTTGTAATTACTGGCAAAACTTCGTACTCCGATGGTAAATGTTGTGGCTCTCCAACACAACGGTGTGCTGTTCTAGTGACGAATTGGCATATTCTGTTTACGTGACAACCCTTACTAGTTGGCCGTGTCGGGTGGTGGCGGGTTTTAACGACACATTTAGATATTTACACGATCTAACCCAAAAAATCTCTATTATGGATGATATTGGTCGCGAAAGCCTACGTGATAAACTAAAAACAATCTATCAATTATGACAAAAGCATCATGGATCTTCCCGTGTTGTGTATAACTATTTATGTGCGTTGCACATGTGCACCTGTGTAAGCCGTGCACCACAACACAGACGAGCAGCAGGCTTGATGGAACTGGTTTAGAGTCGTGTGAGTTTTCTTATTATTTTGTTGTTTCTCTTCAACGTGACTTTACCGAAAAAACTAAGAATATGAAATGTCCTGCTATTAGACTTTGTCCTAAAGGCCTGTTCTGTGCACATTCTGTTTGTTTGTGCGTATATAATACCCGTGATCTTCCACAATGGTGACTATAACGAGTTATTTACACAACTCGTAATTTAACTTTCCATCAGCCCCCTGATCCCCGTCCACTCCACGTGTTTGATGGAAATGGAAGTTGGCAACCACAATGGGTGGATTCCTTCTTGAACATATTGCACTCATAAAATTACACATGAAACACCATATTTTTTTACAAAATGTAATGTAATCTCAAGAAAGACAGTATTCACAAACCAGCGTGAACATTTTGTTAATATAGAAACTTACAATATTTTTTTAAGCGCTCCCAAAGCCATTAAAATTGTGGAATTTTTTTCTGTACAATTGAAATGGCCCACAATTTCAAGATCGCCATTTGGCATGTTGCCATGAGCATATTTATGGCATGGTGTTTTTATATCGAATATGGAATTTAACCGATGAGGAATTGGCAATTCACAGTTCATTTGTACACAGTAGCAAATGTTTTCAAATCAGATAAATACAACAGTGGAAACCATATACATAACCCGAGAACCTGGCCAGCAGACAATTAGGCGTTTAAATAACCCTGTTCTGGAACACAAGCTCTGCTTGGACCAGTTTAAGGTACAGATACAACCAGGTATTGTATAACAATATACAGCAACACTTGATCACGAAATACATTTCCCCAGCAGGTGAAACTGTTTCACTTGTACAATATACAATACGGTGTATTCACTGATAAAAAAATATATCTATAAAATTTTCAATTGTAATTTATAATACCAATTCAATGAAGCTGCATGATTTTTTTTATAAAGGAACAATAGTAATCAGCAACTGACATCGTTTGTCATATGTAGCACAAACACGCGTGTGCACATAAGACTTCACCTCTAGTTTGCAGACGTGTTTTTACATCTGTCACGCGTACGCAATGCTCGACGGACTTGTGGGGAGACGAAAAGCTGCAAGATAATTCTGAAATAAATATCACTGTCCAATTACAATAAGTGGAGAAAACACTGACAGTTTTTTTCTGTTGGTGCCTTTTTTGTTACACGATGGAAATGTGACACAGGATTTCAAGAACAACACAGCGGGCCTGTGTGTTTTAAGGAAATGACAACTGACCTCTCAGGCACGAGAGCAGTCTTCCTGTGCAAATCTGGCAAATGGGGAAATATAATCTGCTGTCTTGTCGAGTCTTCTCAATCCCAACCACTGACGATGTCAGATTTAATATCACTAAACCCTGAGCCAACTCCAACGGTGTACCTGCCTAAACGAGCAACACATTGACAAAATGCAAAGCTAAGCTTTCCCGCAAGAATATTATCAAGACACAGGAAAAGTAGTTGTTCGTGTGGCTAACAGAGAAAAAAAAACTCAGACGTGAGCATTGCAGTTTAAACTCCAGACCAGAAATCGAACATAACGTATAAAAGTGAAGGCAGTGCTCCAGAATATAAGAACTATTTTACAAACCACAAAGTATTGTACAGTGGAGTGCCCCATCATGCTTAATTCACCACGGTCCCTGAAGAAGCATAGCTGTAGTATATAACTAAGTTTGAATCTCATTGTTTCCTGTATTCCCACGTGTTGGAGCTGTTCAATAGGGGGACAAGCTGAACATCCACACTCACAACCACTTCCTGCAAAAAATGTGGAACCTTACCATCTTCCCCCCCCCATACCCCTCCCTCTCCCTACCCAGTTCAAGTGTTGCAGAGTCCTTTACTAATGCCCCAACACACGTACAACGTTGGCAACGTAACCGGACAAACCTCGCTCTTGACAACCGCATCACCACAAGCAAGCACAGGGGACCATGCATAGCAGCCTCAAGAGTGTCCCCATCCACCATCCTCACTGCCCTGATTCTCGCTTGGTACAGCCATCACTAAAGAAAGTGCAACCAAGAGAGGGACGTTATACGTATCTCTCCAATGTGTTTTCTCGGGTTGTACCGTGTGGTGTAATTGTTGTTGTTGGGAGATGTGTTCTAGTGTTCCTCTTTAGGATTGGAAGCTCTCAGAAACACGTGGTACAACCCGGAAGTTAGTCTGAGAGACAAAGAGAGCAGCCGCGAAAACCTGCACGGTAATTTTACAATTTGCATTTTTTTAGTAGAACCCCTGGACAGCTTTTCCCTTCAACCGATCCCGTTTGGGTTATTCAGTATTCAGACCCTCATTGATGCACTTTCTCTTACAAATATCACCCTACAACAAGCTCAGATGGGCCTTCCAACCAATTTGAGGTCTCCTGGCTTCCCGACGTTGATGATGTGTCTTCTACGATGGGGGAGACTTCCGTGTCCTGCACTGGAGTAACTACTGAAGTGGAAAGTACGTCGCCAATCATCACGGTTGTCTCCTCCTTGTTCCCACTGTCCGTTGATATGTTTCCTGTGAAAATAAAAGCAGAAAGAGCATGCAAATTGATTAATCACACTTTCATAGAACATTTGATGTCTCTGCCTATTTACCCAAAACACTTCAGAGATTAAATATTGATTTGAAGCTGTCGTGACTGCAGGAATCCATACTCTGGTTCTTTCAGTAAAGTTACGTAGGTAGAAAAAATAATAGATCACGACGTTTCGATCGCCACACAAGCAATCGTCTTCAGGTGGGAGAGAGAAACAGGCTGCTGAAACAAGTCCTCATATATATAGAGCCGAGAGGGGGGGAAGAGGGGGCTGCCACATCGGGCAAGAGAGTGGGGGCTAGAGATTGTGCCTAAGCATGTGGGAAATCCTGAGATTGTTTATTTTAAAGAGTGTATTCATTATACACTAAATCTTATATAACTGTGATTGCATCGTTGAAAACTTTATCGGTTATCACCGTAGTTTTTATGTGGCCTTTTAGTATTCCTTTCATAATTCTGGTCGGTGGAAACACGAGGTACACCGATGAACTTTTAAAACCATTAATCCAGAAAGGCCCTAACCAAGTATCAAGACTTGTGTTTGTAATGGGGGTGCCAATGAGAACAAATTACCCAGAGAAAACCCACACAATGCACGCGACTCCTCTTTAGATTTCTGCGGCACCATCCCGCCGCTACTCACAGTGGCCGTGCGGTGACTTTGGTTACGTACCGTCTGAGCTGTCTATCCGGATGACTCCGCCAATGCGCTCCCTGCATATGACCCCAAGCACCACCACCAGCAGCAGCAACAGGCAGGCCACCCCGGCCACCAGACCTCCAATAAGCACCGCTGACGGTTTATCTGCTGGGCATAAGAGCACTGTTAGCATGTTTGCACACATCCAACAATGAGTCAAGGGTTGATGCCACCCGTCCACAATTAGCATGCTTAGCAGGTCAGATCGGTCTCCTTACCACTGTGTTGACCCTTTTTGCGATTTGATGCCGTTGTCCCAAACACATTTGTCAGGATATGTGATTGAAGTACTCCACAACACGTTTGTGCGCCATCTTTGGCCACAATGATAACTTAAAAGTGTGGAAATCGTCATAATATTGATGGCAAAAAACTTGAACACATTCGTCAATAACATCACCTTCTATATATACTATGAAGAAGGGCCATTGCCCAAAACGTCGCATATAAAATATTTATTTTATTTGAAGGTCAGTTTTATTAACGAACGTGTTGAGTTTTGTTCGTGTTAATTGTGCTTGTGCACCAGTGCCAACGCGGCAGCAGCATCACCAAATAACGTCTTTCGAAGTCCACAATATATTCGAGTAACACCCTGATCGTGTGCACAACACCCTGGTGAGATGGGTTCCGGAACCTGCAGAGACCCCCATGGGCATATGACCACTATTGGGTTGAGCGGTGGTGCAGTGGTTGGTGCGGTGGGCTATGAACCCGGTGGGGCCTGCATTCGATCCCCCTGCCACGGCTAAGATCAGTGAGCGAGTGAGGTCTCCCCCACCTTCGCCAGGCGTCATCAAGTATGATCGTCAAACAACCGCAATACCCACTCCACCTTGACCTGCGGCAAGACCCTCATCCAGCAGTGAACGCATGTACGTTGAACTTCTTTCGCACCGTACGTAGCCAACCACGCTAATCGGGAGGTGCGGCGGCAGGACAACAACCTCAACACAAAAAAAGCAGTTCTGAAGAAATGAGTTTTGAAAAGTGTACCGGCAAGCAAGGGCTGCACGTAGTACACGGTACAACGTGAAGATGTGTGTCGCAATGCCTGGGCATTGCGACATCACGGGCGGCAACACCCGTCAATGCCTGAGCATTGCGACATCACCGGTTGGCGTCACCATTGGCCGCCGTGTTGGTTATTCTGGCAGGCAAATTCGGAGATTCCATTTCCAGCGCGTCACTAAACCACTCGAGAGTGAGTGTTGTCCCCCGGGGATAGGGCTTGGCCGTCTCGGTTACAGGGGGGTGGAGTGGGTAATTGACACAGACCTGTTAACCCCTCACCAGTGACTACCTTACTACAGACCATTTCAGACCTTATTAGTCACCCCGTGCCCTTATCAATCTCAACGTTTATCCTACAAAGTCCCATCACAAGGGAGAAAGAGACAAACAAACTAGAACAAAAAAATGTTGCCTGTTTTGAGACGTCTGTACGCCGTATGGGCCTCAAAACTCAATTTCACTGAACAAGAATACGGGCAAACCGTATGGGTTGACAGGTATGTTGACATTTAATGATTAACGACTCCCTTTGAATGGATACAACGGCCCGGTCTGTTGATAATAACCAAATAGGGAAATTCGACATTCTACGATTGGTCACCATTAAATCAACGCCGCCAAACACTTTGGCAAGTAAACACGACGTTGTTGGCCCAACGCTGGCACGTGGTTGGAACATTTGCGCCCAAAGTGATATGTCGACTGCGTTTGGATAATACACGAAAGGAAGCTAATGTTTCATCAGCGATGTATTACAGTTCCGTTATGATTACCGACACCAATAACTCTGTTCCTTCAGTTTAAGACATGTCTTAATTCTAAGCCCTCTCTCATGATAGGCGAAGGTACTGCATCTACAAATCGTTCATAAAATCTAGTGCAGTACACGTGTACGGCCTGTATATACAGGTATGTTGAACTTCTTTCGCACCGTACTTAGCCAACCGTGCTCATCGGAGATGCGGGGCCTCTGTTGTCAATCCGCTGCTTGCACGAGGGCTGAATGTACAATTTCAAGTACGTGTTTAACCAAGTCAAGAGAGAGTGCCCTTGGGGTCACCAAAATGACAAAGGAAAGCACATTCACGACGCAAATATAAGACTATCCGTGCAAAAAAAAAAAACACCGTGCCACAAGGAGACGTCCAAAATGCAAGAGGATACATTTCCTGTACTGAAAGTTGGTCACCCTGCAAAACCCGTTCGTTCACGGAACACGTGACGTTGTCGTTGCACGAATGTGTAAACCAGTGGTTCTTCACCTTCACTGCAGCTTTGCAACACTATTGTGCTCCACAGTTAAAGCAATGTAAAATATTAATAAATACACTGAGGGTTTGATGAAACAAAGCAGTTGCACTCACGTGCCCGTGCTTAATTTGCGTGTTGATGATTTACCTTCTAAAAAAAAATCTGTCCATGTCTCGCACCCCAAATAAAGCACCACTGCTCTAGAGGATCGCTCGAGATATCTCCCTCTAGAGGGGTGGGGGCAACGAACCAACCTCGCCAGCACATCAACACCGTCCCCAGTTTACTCGAATGCAGTTTTGGCGCTCAACTGCATGTCGATTCTGTCAATAGACGGTCTTCAAATAACGCCTGAGAACCACGTGGTGCAAGGCTGCGGTAAAGGTTAAACACCACTGCTCAAGAGGAAGATATCACGAGGGCACGTGGCCTCCTCGTCCACGTCGGCCGCACATTCGGACGTCTTGGACGAGGAGGAGGAGGAGGTGGTGGTGGTGGTGGCAGCACCCATGCGTCGCTCCCCACGCATTCGCCCGCAACGCACCTGATCCCGAGGGGGCACTGCAGTGCGCGACGCACGCCTTGGGGGGCTTGGAGCAGCGCAGTTCGCAGCTAGCGCAGGCGCGGGTCAGCTGGTCGAAGTACTGCCCGCCGTGGCACGGCGCTCCGTCCACCGCTGCGGACACGGACGCGAGGCCGGTGGCGGCCACCAGCAGCAGCAGCAGCAGAGCCCCGCACGCCGGCTCCCGAGACGTCTCCATGCGCGTCTTGTTTCCTTCGTGGGGATAACGACGCAGCAACGGCAGCTCCTGCTGCTGCCACGACAATGAGGAGGATGACGACGACGAGGAGGAGGACGACGAAGGAGACGAGCGGCTGTGGTGAGCCCTCGAGTGTGGCGTCTAGAGCTGTTGTTTGGCGAAGGGGGGGGGGGGTGCCCGTGATGAGTCGTCGGAGCCCGGCGAGTTGGGATGAGTCACTGTCGTCGGTTGACTTTTGCCGCTTCTGCCCCAACGCAGATCGAGTGACTCGCTCCTTGGTTGCGCCGGCCGTCTGGTGAGGGTCGCAATGAGCGGATCGTTGTTAAGCTGCGTCACGGGCGGGCGTGCGGGCGGGCTGGGGGAGGACGTTGCGCTAAGCCGGCACGGCACAACAAACTAAATACAAAGGGGGGAGGAGGAGGAGGCGGCGACTTTTGCGCGGCTGCTTTGGCCACGAACCGACGGCCCCCAGCCCGCCCACGCGCGCGCCTCTCGCCACCCCCCCCCCCACCACTCCTCCACCCACCACCCCCCACCACCCCCACCAGCCCCACCACCTCCCCCCACCACCTCCCCCCACCACCTCCCCCCACCACCCCCACCACCTCCCCGGGGGGGGTGCTTCGCGGGCAGATTTTGTTGTGAACTTGGCGAGGAGGGGGCCCAGAGGTTCGCTCGCCGACTTCCCACGCTGCAGGAGTTGGATACAAACAACAAGAACAACAAAAGTCGCCCACCACCAAATGCAGCCACGCACCGGCACAGCCGTAACGCGTTCGCATCGTTAACACGCGGCGACGATTCATTTATGGATTCATTTATGGAAGCTGTACACCGCACAGACTTCGCCTCTGCTTCGATGATTCATTGAGATGGCGCGTTATTGAATGTTGGATTTCCCCCCCCGATCCCCCTTCTAATGGCTTTAATCTTAGTTGTCTTGTGGTTGTTGTTGTTATTTGACTTGCATTCCACTGGGATTTTTGCACACAGCGTTGGTGTACGGTGCTATTTCAGGAATATTTTGATATTTTTTTCTTGTATTTTCTGTTTGCACAGTCACGTAGTCACTTTAAGATGTTTTTCTTGTTCATGTTTTTGTTTGTTGCGGTTGCACCCGATTCAAGAGCCGAATGGCTCACAGGGCTATACCTAATAAATGAACTAAACTATGAACTAATCCAGCGAATCGGATTGGTTGTGTTGAATGAACGCACAGTGAGTGCATTAGGGGCCGTCCATAAATGACGTCACGCTATTTTGGACGATTTTTGACCCCCCCCCCCTCGTCAGACGGCGTCACAAAGTCAGACGCCCCTCAAATATGACGTCACAAAGCTCTGCCCCCCCCCAAATAAAACATGCTTCAAATCGCTTTAAACTATTGTCATTGTAGTGCGTATTTAATGTGGCGCTGCACTCTGATGTTGTAAGAGAAAACATAAAAAAGTCTATTTAATTAAGTAGAACGTGTTGTTGTCTATATTTATTTAAAGTTGCGCATTTTTATGTGACGTCACATTTCTCAAACCCCCCCCCCCCCTCGTCACACATCGTCACAAATATGTGACCCCCCCTAGGTGCGTGACGTCATTTATGCACGGCCCCTTAGGCGATGGTGTTGAATCATGTAAACACGGAGATGTCGCGATATTTCATAACGACGGCGAGGATGTGAGGATTGCAATTGATGCGAGGGGCATGTGGAGGATTACGAAGTAAAATATTCACTATACTGTACTGTGATTGCTTACAATTGTTTTGGTGGTGTATCAGGACATCTGTGAAAAAGATTCTCATAGCTCATCGGATTTCTCCAGGATAAATAAAGATTCTGATTCCGATCTATAAATGGATCATCCTGTGCAGTCATTGAATGTCAGGGGAATGTTTGACCAGTGGATAAAGCGGACATCAGCATATCTGTACACTACTGTGCCGGGCGGACCTCATCCAGCAGTGGATTGAACAAATGGGCTGTATATTGACGTAATTTGGAGAGAGGAAAAAGCTCAACACATCGTATGCTGAACTTTTTTCGCACCGTACATACACAACCGTCGTAATGGGAGGTGCGGGAGGACAATAAACTAAACACAAAAAGCAGTTCTCAATAAATGAGTGTTCAATCTAGATGATTCAACACAGCCGTGCGGTGATGAAGGCCCTTTGCCCGAAACGTCGCCGAGAATATATTTCCCCCCGTAGGGCAGTGTTGTTAATGAGTACGTAGAGTTTGTCGATTGTGCAATGTGCTCGTTGCAGCACCGCCAACGCAGCAGCACCACACATATACACTACGGTAGTTTATATTGTACTGTGCACGCAAGTTGAGTTGACAGTATTCCAACAGCGAGTCGCTCTCGCCCTACAGAGGCATCTCTCGACTCGACAACGCCGCTGTTGTGCCCCTGATATGGGACGCGTCGACTTGTGGTTGGTTTTGTGTGTGCGTAAGTGAGTCACGCGTGGGTTGGGCCCCGCGCGGACGAAGGGAGGAATTCCCGGCAACGCCGCGAATGCTCCTTGATGTGACGCGTCGACTTGTGGTTGTTGAAGTCCGTCACGAGTGGGTTGGGCTCTGTGCGGATGAAGGGAGGAATTCCCGTCCACCACCACCACCACAACAACAGCACGGGGCCCTTTCCCGGCGCTCACGCCGCTCACGAGCAAGGGAAGTTTTGTCTCTCTCGCAATCGCACTCGCGGCGTGCCGTTCGTCGACGTGACGTCGAGATTGTAAACGGTGTTCATGCGGATTTAAATCGAACATGTAACAGCCCCCCCGCCCCCCGTGTCGTGGATTATGCCCTCCGCCGTGCCCTTGACAAATCTTTCACCGCGCTGGTCAGTGCAGGGGCGGTGAAGGCAGGGTAAGGAGCATAGACGTGATATGCTGCCATACTCACTGAACACATTTATGTGGTCGCATTCATTACACGCACCCACGTGTAATGCGTGCTTGCCACAAATGAACCTCAATACCGTTGCTGATCTCGTCAAGGTACGTAAACCATCATCACACGAACCCCAGGGCATCCTCCCAGCAGCGGCTTTTGGATAGCCATCGAATAAAGACGGCCACTGCATCGCGCGCTTTCAGATGCGCTTCTGCGGCCGTCTGGAACGCTCTTCTGATGTTCGGAAGCCGCTGGAGCTATGTACCTTTAAATAATCTAGATTGAACACGAATCTATTTAGAACTGCTTTTTTGTGTTTAGTTTGTTGTCCTCCCCCCGCACATCCGGTGCGAAATAAGTTCAATAAAAAGTGTACAGTACTAAACTATGGATTTTTCCTGCACTGCACTGTGCTTTACCCAAGCAGCCCCGAGTGACGTTGTCATCGCACTATTTCAAGTAAAGAAACCGTGAAATAGAAACCTGAAATATAGTTCCAGTTCATTAGAACAAAGCAAACGTCAATTGCGGTGCCTTGATACTATCGAGATGAGACTTCCCTTTGAAGGCACGGGTTGAGTCACCAACTGAGCAATGTTTCAAGGATATAAATAATAATGATAATGCTGTGTAATGAGATTTGAATCCTCTTTCACTTCCCACCGGTTGACGTTGCAACAGGTTGGGGGAGTGAAGATGCTGTTTGGAGAAATACATTTTGAAAAATAGTAAAACGTTTTCGTTCACTTCATACCTATTCATACTGTACATCAATTGTTTTGTTTGAAATGTTTTTTTTCTGGTAGATATTAGTATTATATACAACACGTAATCGTTTAAATGGTTTAGGACACATACAGAATAAAACAGTATACATTTTAAAGTTACCTGTATATACTTATCAGAAAAAGGGTTCTTGCCTATAACGTGTGAATGTTCACTAGCGTGCATTGGCTCAATCAAGCATGTCTTTGACGATGATGAAACACTAAACGTCCAAATTGGACCAGAGCATTGAACCAATCCTGCTGAAAGGATGCACTCACAGTAGGCCCTGTGATTGATGGGGAATGGAGAGATATACACATGAAGGAGATACATTCCCTGTTAATTTATTTCGATACAGAACTCACATTCTCCTCAACGGCGCTTATGCCGAATGGAGAACAATATTAGTTTACAAAATGGGACTTTTATTTCCAGTATCAAAGTATGAAAAAATAAGAATAGGTATTCTTTGGTTCTTTCTGTAAAGTCACGTATATAGGTTTTTTTTAGATAGGTTCCTTGAACCTATCTACGTTACTTTACCGAAAGACCCAAAGAATATGCATTCCTTGCAGTCACGAAAGCTTAAAGTCAAGATTTCATAAGAATAGGGTTTACCCGTTCTGCCAATGAAACAGGTGTCAAGATGTTCAAACGGCAAATATAAAAGAAATTTCAATGAATAAAGTCCGCATTAGCCACCGTATTTGTGAACACGCATATATATGTGTAGAGGTGTTAACTACGCGCTGTTGCGTAACCTGCATTGCCACCAGGGCAGTGCAGCATTACCGCTGGGTACAACGATTGGGGTCAGTTGAGGTTAAACGGATCGTAGCCAGGGTTTGGTACGAACCAATCAGACGGTTCCACGTGGGAATGTATGATTGGTTCTGCCTGGCCACGAAGGAGTATAAGACGGGTGACCCAACGGACCTCGGGGGTTCTCTCCCTACACGAAGACAGAAGACTGGGCTGAAGCCTAGCTAGGACCCTGGACCAGCCTTCCAGCCCTTCTAAGGGTTAGGGCTCGGCATACCCAGTGGTCAGGACCCACCGGGCCAGCGGTGGGTCAGATAGCCTCCCCTAGGTCCTAGCCGGAGGACTAGGATAGCGGTAGACGTGTGAGTCCCGCCAAGTCCGGAGGCTGTACCTCCTTAGGTATCAAGGAGGTTAGCGGTAGACGTGTGAGTCCCGCCAAGTCCGGAGGCTGTACCTCCCTAGGGTATCGGGTGAGGGGACCGTATATCCCTCTGTGTGTGTTAAGCATTGTATAAGGAAATAATACAATAAACAGAGTGTGCCTCCTAAGAAGTCTGCTCGTCCTTACAACACTACATATGCATTGTCCTTAAAACTAATTGATCTACACCAGAGACAGCCTTCTTTAAGGATGCAATGAACAGTAACGTGTCGCTATCCGGTCGAGTTGAGAATATATCCTCCTTATGAGGCATCTGCTGTGTCCAGAACCAGCCAGCGCTGTGGTAATAAAAGGCAAAAATAGAACAGGAGACGGATTAGGCAATTGCCTTTCTGCATAGCACATTGTCGAAAACTTCCCCTTTTGAATATATTTTTCCTTTGAATGCCACAGTGTTATAGACGAATGTTATTTGTGCACAACCGTCAACGCAGCAGCAGCAGCGCCACACACTCTCTCCTTTGTAATACAACTTAACAGCTTTAAGTGAGTGGAGAGAGTTTGCAGGCATCACGGACACAATGGCACAGAAAGTG